TGATCCCAGGAATGACCTCGGGAACAATCCCAGGAACGATCCTGAACAACCCTGGGAATGATCCCGGGAATGATCCAAGAACATTCCCAAAATTGATCCCGGGAACGATCCAGGAGTGATCCTGGGAAGAAAAATCCCAAAAATGATCCCGGGCACAATCCCAGGAACAATCTTGGGAGCGATCCAGGAACGATCCTGAAAATTATCACAGGAATGATCCCAGGAATGACTCTGGGAATAATTCCAGGAAAAATCCCAGGAACAACCCCGGGAATGATCCCAGGAACGATCCCAGGAATCCTCATCCCCAACCAATCCCGATTTTTTAATCTACCTCTTAGCCATAGGTGACTCTAGGTAGGGGCGACTCCCCGGGCGTAGTTTTAGGGAGAAAAGGAAAATTAAAATTAAAAAAAAAAAATTTAAAAAAAAATTTAAAAAAAGGTAGAAAGAAAAAAAAAGTTTTTTTAAAAAAAAAAAGGAAAGAAAATTAAAATAGAAAAAATAAAAAAAAATTACATTTTTCCAAAGAATGCATTCTTTTAAAAAAAAAATAAGATTAAAAAAAAAAAATAGGATTTATGGGATTGCTTTCCCTTGAGGAAAGTGATTTTTGAGTCCTTGGAAGCTCCAGACCTCACCAGCCCCAGATTTGGGCTGTGACTGATTTTATTTTTATTTTTTATTTTATTTTTATTTTTATTTTTAATACTCAATTTTCCTCCTTTTTTTTTCTGCTTTTCCTTGGATTTTTTCCTCCTTCCCTCTCACCCCTCCGGCCTCCCCGCGGGGCTGGGGGAATCCACGTCGATAATTTGGGGTTTTTTTCCTATTTTTCCAATGGTTTGGGGTTTTTTTGGGGGCGGTGATGGCAGCAGGGGAGGGAGGGGGGACGGAGCTGAATTTTGGGAGCATCCAAAGGTGCTGCTTTTCCCAGGAAATTTCAGGCTCTTTAGGTAAAAATTGTGATTTCTGGGATGTTGTTTTGCCTCTTTTTTGAGTTGTTTTCACCTTTTTTGCCCCTCTAACCTCTCCTGACCCACGTCCTTCCCTTGTGCTGGGATTTGGGATGGATGTGGGCTCCAGTTCTTTTCCAGGGAGGAGGGTTTTCCTTATTTTATTAATTTTTTTTTTGTTTTTTTTGGCCACAACTCGCTTTATTTCCACTGTTTCGCTGTGAAAAATAAAAAGCAAAAACAGAGAAAGAAGCAAAAAAAAAAATTTAAAAATTCCAAGTGTTTGTGTGGATTTGTGGGTTTGGGGAGGGGGGGGGAAAGGGTAAAATTGAAGAATTAGGGAAAAATGAGGAGGGAAGAAAAAATAAAGGGGAAATTTGAAATTAAAAGGGAGAAAATAGAGGAAAATATTGAGGGGAAATAGGAAAAGAAATGGGAAAAATGGGAGAATTGAAGGGGAAATAGGGAGGAAGAAAAATAAAGGGAAGATAGGAAAAAATGGGAGGAAGAAAACATAAAAGGAGAAATTACAAAAAAGAAATTGAGGGGAAAAATAAAGAAAATATAGAGGGGAAAGAGAAATAACAGAGGTGATAAAGGGAAAAGGGATAAATAAAAGGGGAAATTTTAGGAATAGAGGGGGAAATGGAAGAGAAATAAAGGAAAATAGAGGATAAAACTCTGAAAAATAGGAAATAGAAGGGAAAAATAAGGGGAAAGCAAGAAGAAAAGGGGGAATAGAGGATAAATAGGAAAATAAATAACTTAGAGGAGAAAAATGAATAAAAAGAGGAAAATGGAGGGGAAATAGAGAAATTAAGGGGAACACAGAGAGCAGTGGAAAAATAAATGGGAAAAAGTTAAAGGAGAAAGAGAAAATTAAATAAATAAAGGGAAATGGAGAAGGGGAAAGGAAAATTAAGGAAAATATAAGGAAAATAGGGAAATAAGGGGAAATAGAGTGGGAAAAGGAGAAATAAAAGCGGAATAGAGAAAGAAAGGGGGAATAGAGGAGAAACATACAACTAAGTGGGAAATAAAGAAAGGGGGAGAAACAGATAAAGAAAGGGGGAGAAATAAGGGAAAAACCCCAGAGGAATAAGGGCAAAAACGAGTTTAAAAATCTAAAAATAAGTTAAAAAAACCATAAATAATAGTGGAAATCAGAGCAGCGGAGCTGGGGGCTGGCCCAGCGGGTGGAAGGGCGGCGGTGCCGGGGTTCCAGGAGGTTTTGAGGGCCGGGAATGTTTCGGAATTCCCGAATTCCCGCAATTCCCGGAATTCCCGGGCTGTGGGACCCGGGACTATTTCCCGCGGGCGGAGGGATAGGGAGGGCGCGCGGCACCTCCCGATACACCCAGCGGTCCCATGGTGTAATGGTTAGCACTCTGGACTTTGAATCCAGCGATCCGAGTTCAAATCTCGGTGGGACCTCGTGTTTCTTTTTGCCCGCCGCGCCGCCGCCCCGGGGCCGAGGAGGGGACAGGAAAGGACCGGAGGAGGGTGAGAAGTTACGGTGGCTGCACTGGGAGCGCCGAGCTCGCCCCGGAGCCCGCCGTGCTCCATTTTGTGCGTGGGCGCCCGCGCTTCAAGGCGCAGGCGCGGGAGAAAGGCGGCTGATGGCAGCCGGAGGGCACGCTCCGTGTTCCACCGCTGATTGGCTGGGCAGGACGTCACTCTGGCAATCCTGTATTTCTATTGGCTGGCCCTGCGCTTCGCCCCGCCTTCTACCGGCGAGGCCCGGAGCCCTCCGGGGAGACTCGCTATCTCCGTTTTACATCGCTGATTGGCTGTTCGGCCTGTCACTCTCAGAAGCTCTTATTTTTACTGGCTGAGAGCTCTCTTTGCACCGCCTCCTTCTTCCGCAATTCGTATCTCCCGAGGGGGTTTCGTGCTCTCCGTTTTCCATCGCTGATTTGCTATATCTAGTGTCTCTCTCCCAATATCGCGTTTCTATTGGCTGCTACCTTCCTTTGTACCGCCTCCCACTTCACCAATCCCCCAGGAGCCGGTTCGCGCCCTCCGCTCTCCACCGCTGATTGGCTGAGCGGCTGTCACTCTGCCAATCCCGCGTTGCTATTGGCTGGGAGCGCCCTTTGGCCCGCCTCCCCCTCAGCCGCCCGGAGCCCTCATGGCGGGAGCCGTCATGGCGGGTTCGAGCCCTCATAACGCTGCGCGGCCCCTGCGGCCCTGCCCTGAGGCGCTGTGTGGCCGGCATTGTCCCGAATCCCCTCAGAGGCGGCTTATCCGGCTCTGACGCACGTTCCCAGCCCTTTAACATCGATTAACGGGTCAATCCACTCCGGCCGCGGCCTGGTTATCGCCCCGGATTAGGGGCAGCTCAGGCCCCGGAGGAGCCGATCGCCTCAAGGCCAAGAATATACTACTATTTTTATTTTTTTAACCTAAATAGCCCGAGTTTGTCTTGGAGCTGTGGCCAGGAGAAGAAGCAGCACCTTTGGGTTGCTTCTTAATCTCCAAATTAATTATGGAGCATCTCACATTCGGTTCCATCACCCCCCAGAAAAGCCCCACCAACCAACTCCATCAAAAAATAGGATTCTACCAAAAAAAACCCAGCAGAACCATCAAAAACCCCACCAAAAAGGAGGGTTCAGCCCCACCGTGCACCTGTGTTTTAAAGGCAAAAAAAAAACATTATTGGAGCATTAAAAGAATAACATCAGTCACAAGCCAGCTCTTGGGACTGTGAGGTCTGCAGCTAAATAAAATAAAATTTTAAAAGGCAAATAAAATCCACTTTAGAGTGAAAATAAACCCATCAACTCTAATTTTTTGAGAGTATTTCCTGCAAGAAACAGAGGCTGTGGCGGTGCTGGCGGGTTTATTGAGCATTTGCGAGAAAGAACAAAACCACCTCGATTTTGGGGTGTTTTGGGCAGTTTGTGGGGGATTTTTTGAGGCCAGGGAGTGCAGGGAGGGGGTTCTGGCTGCAGGGGGGACCCCCTGCTTGAGGAAAATCCACTTTTTCTGTCTTCTCCTCCAGATTTTAGGGTGTCGGGAGCGCCTTTGCCCCGTGGTGAGGCTGAGAAGGGATCCAGGGGTAGGAAAAGTGCTCCAGGTGGGATCCAGAGGGATTTCCTTGGGATTTAGGGGTAGGAAAAGCGCTCCAGGTGGGATCCAGAGGGATTTCCTTGGGATTTAGGGGTAGGAAAAGCGCTCCAGGTGGGATCCAGAGGGATTTCCTTGGGATCCAGGGGTAGGAAAAGTGCTCCAGGTGGGATCCAGAGGGATTTCTTGGGATCCAGGGGTAGGAAAAGCGCTCCAGGTGGGATCCAGAGGGATTTCCTGGCATCCAGGGGCAGGAAAACTGCTCCAGGTGGGATCCAGAAGGATTTCTTGGGATTTAGGGGTAGGAGAACTGCTCCAGGTGGGATCCAGAGGGATTTCCTTGGGATTTAACCGGGCTGGGAGAAGAGGAGGAGTGGGAGAGGGCCGGGGACAGCGCCCCGAGGGACTCAGAAATTCAAATTATTGCTGCCTCCCTTTTGGGGTCGATGGCGTTGGGGCAGTTTTGGGAGAGTTCTCCCCGAAATTAAACGGGAAAAAAAAAAATCCTGGGAACGGGTTTTTAAAAAAGCAAAACGCTCCAAACAGCGAACCTACCCCAGTGAATTCGGGAGCTGGCTGTGCCTCGGGGTTTCTCTGTCAAGCAGGGATTAAATTTATCCCAAAAAACCCCAAAAGGGAGCAGCAGCACTCGGGGACGGCTCCAGGTGACACCACTGGGGTTTTCCAGAGGGGCAGGCGCGACCTTGGAGGAGGCGCTGGTGGCATCTCCATCCTCCCCAGCCCACCCCAGCTGGAACCCCCAGGGAAGGCAGCTCTGGGATTTTTGGGATAAAGGATAAATCCGGGCTCGGGGGGCTCGGAGCAGCCCCAGCTCGGTGTTCCCGCACCCCCCGCTCGCTCCGGCTGCTGAAAATGCAGAAGTTTTGCTTTTTTTGCTCGTGGGAAACCACCAAAGCTCAGCCGCGGCGCCCCGGCGGCAGCGAGGGTGGAGCTTTGGGGTTATTATTTTTGGGTTTTTTTCTTTGTTCACGCTTTTTTTATTTCTTCTTTTCCTCCCGTTTCAGCGCGCTAGGGTTGGCTCCGGGCAGGCCGGGGTCAGACTAGAGGGGAAGCAGGAGCGGCCGGCGGCCCGGGGTCAGCTGATGGTGCAGCCGCCCTTCTCCTTGAAGGGGTTCTTGTCCTCGGGCACGCCCTTGAGCAGCGGGTCCTCGCCCGCCATGGACTCGATGTACTCCTTGATCTCCTTGCCCGTCTTGGACACCTGCCCGGGGCGAGACGCAACGGTGCGGGGGGAACGGCGCCGGGAACGGCACCGGGGAACGGCACCGGGAACGGCACCGGGAACGGCACCGGGGAACGGCACTGGGGAATCTGGACTGGGGGATCTGAACCAGGGAATGGCACCGGGGAATGGCACCGGGAACGGCACCGGGGAATCTGGACTGGGGGATCTGGACCGGGGATCTGAACCGGGGAATGGCACCGGGAATGGCACCGGGGAATCTGAACCAGGGAATGGCACCAGGGAACGGCACCGGGGATCTGAACTGGGGGATCTGAACTGGGGATCTGAACCAGGGAACGGCACCAGGGAATCTGAACCAGGGATCTGGACTGGGGATCTGAACCGGGGAATGGCACCGGGGAATGGCACTGGGGGATCTGAACCAGGGAACGGCACCGGGGAACAGCGCCGGGAACGGCACTGGGGATCTGCACTGGATCTGAACTGGGGGATCTGGACTGGGGGATCTGGACCAGGGAACAGCACTGGGGAACAGCACCGGGGATCTGAACCGGGGCATCTGGACTGGGGGATCTGAACCGGGGATCCAACACCAGGGATTTGCCCAGGGGGATCTGGACTGGGGGAACTGAACTGGGGGATCTGAACCGGGGGATCTGGACCAGGGATCTGCCCAGGGGGATCTGCACCGGAGCAGGGGAGCAGGACACAGACCCAGGATGGAGCGTCCCTAAACCGCCCCTGGGGCACCTCAAATAACGCCTGGGGCATCCGTGAACCATCCCTGGGGCATCCTGAAACCACCCCTGGGGTGTGCCAGAAATCCCAAAACCACCCCTGGGGTGTGCCAGAAATCCCAAAACCACACCTAGGGATGTGCCAGAAATCCCAAATAACCCCTGGGGAATCCAATCCCAAAACCACCCCTGGGGTGTGCCAGAACATCCCAAGGCATCCCTGGGGAATCCTAAAACCACCCCTGGGGATGTGCCAGAAATCCCAAAACCACCCCTGGGGTGTGCCAGAAATACCAAATAACCCCTGGGGCGTGCCAGAGCATCCCAGAGCTTTAGGGGCAGTGTGGGGGCTCCCGCCTGGCTTTGGGGGCAGCGTGGGTGCTGTGGGGGCAGCGTGGGTGCTGTAGGGGCCGTGTCAGTGTTTTGGGGGCAGCGTGGGTGCTGTGGGGGCAGCGTGGGTGCTGTGGGGGCAGCGTGGGTGTTTTGGGGGCGATGTTGGTGTTTTGGGGGCAGCGTGGGTGCTGTGGGGGCAGTGTTGGTGTTTTGGGGGCAGTGTCGGTGTTTTGGGGGCAGCGTGGGTGGATTTCAGGCCCCGCGGCTCTTTCTGTCCCCCCGAGGAAGCGCAGCCCCCCTCGGGCGGCCGCCCTGCAGTGAGGAACTCACCATCTGCCTCTCGTTCTTCACCTCCTTCTTCAGCTGGTCCAGCTCCATCTTGAGCAGCTCCTTCTCGGTCATGTCCTGAGCCATGGTGCCCTGGACCTGGAGGACAGCGGTTATTGGGGTTATTGCTGTGCGGGATTGTGACCCCCAGTGTCCCCGAGCAGTGCCTGGCAACGCCTGCCCGGCTTTCCTGAGGAATTCAACGCATTTCAGCTTTCCTTTCCCCCGGCTTTTTATACCACGGCTCCTCCATCACCATTTCCGCTCCCCCCAAGATTTTGGGACCGTGGAAGTTGAGGAAATCCAACTCTTTTTCCCCAAAAACCCCCGTGGCGCGCGTGGCCCGTGCTCCTCCCCGTGCCCGCACATCCCTGGCGACACCGGGATGCTCCCAAACGCGGGGGGAAGCGACTCCTGCTCCCCAAACGGGCCTGGAGGGACTCACCTGGGGGCCGGGGGCCGCCCCTGTGTGCTCTGGGGCCGCTCAGAGCCCCATGGAGGGACAGGACAGGACAGGACAGGACAGGAGGGGACAGGAGGGGACAGGAGGAGAGGCGAGGCTGCTCTGCGGCTCCGGGCGCCCGCAGCAGATGTCTTTGCTGCTAAGCTGATAATGGACTCAGGAGCCTAAGCCGGTCAGGTGTTGGGAATTAGCCCCAAAGCTCGGCCTAATCGGGCCGGGGCGGGGCGGCCGGGCCGGGCGGGGTCCGGCACCCGGGGAGCGCCCAGGGATGCCCGGGGAGGGTCCGGATCCTGCCCGGAGCGAGGGAGTGACCACGGGGGTGACCATGGGAGTGACCACGGGAGTGACCCTGGGAGTGACCTCTGGGAGTGACCACGGGAGTGACCACGGGAGTGACCCTGGGAGTGACCCCGGGAGTGACCCCGGGAGTGACCCCGGGAGTGACCCTGGGAGTGACCCTGGGAGTGACACTGGGAGTGATCATTGGGAGTGACCCCGGGAATGACCACGGGAGTGACCACGGGAGTGACCCCTGGAGTGACCACGGGAGTGACCACGGGAGTGACCCCGGGAGTGACCCTGAGAGTGACCCTGGGAGTGATCATTGGGAGTGACCCTGAGAGTGACCCCGGGAGTGACCCTGGGAGTGACCCCGGGAGTGATCACGGGAGTGACCACGGGAGTGACCCTGGGAGTGACCCTGGGAGTGACCCTGGCAGTGACCCTGGCAGTGACCACGGGAGTGACCACGAGAGTGACCCTGGGAGTGATCACTGAGAGTGACCACAGGGGTGACCCTGGGAGTGACCCCGGGAGTGACACTGGGAGTGACCCCAGGAATGACCACTGAGAGTGACCCCCAAGAGTGACCACTAAGAGTGATCCCTGAGAGTGACCCTAGGAATGACCCCTGAGAGTGACTGCGGGAGTGACCCCGGGAATGACCCCAGGACTGACCCTGGGGCTGACCCCGGGGCTGACCCCAGGACTGACCCCAGGACTGACCCCGGGAATGACCCCGGGAATGACCCCAGGACTGACCCCGGGAATGACCCCGGGGCTGACTCCGTTGGTTCCCCCCGGTTTGTTCGGGGCCGGTGCCGGTGCCGGTGCCGTGAGGAGCGGGAGCGGCGGAAATCCATCACTTCCCTCGGGATGGGCTCAGGAAGGGCCGGGCCCGGGGCTGGGACGGAGCCCGGGAGGCGCCAGGGCAGCACCTGGGGCGGAGCAGGAGCGGAGCAGAGGCCGCCGGGGCTTTCCGAGCGGGAATTTCCTGCGGCCTCACCCGCGGGGTGCGGAACGCGCCCGGCCAAGGACGCGCTGTGCCCTGCCAGGGGCTCCCGGGGCACCTCGGGCTCCCGGGGCACCGCGGGGCTCCCCGGGCACCGATCACCGGGCACGTCCCGCTGTGCCCTGCCAGCCCCGGGGCTGTTCGGGAACGTTCCGGGGCGCGCAGCCGAGGGCGGCGGGAGCTCCGCGGGGCCTGGGATGTGCCCAGCCCCGGGAGGGCGGCGGCGGCTCGGGGAGGGTGGCACAGGTGGCACAGGTGGGGGTGAGGGTGATTTTAGGGTTGGGGTCCTTTTGGGGTCTGCATCCTTGTGGGGTCTGCATCTTTTTGGGGTCGGGATCCTTTTAGGGTCTGCATCTTTTTGGGGTCGGGATCCTTTTGGGGTCAGGATGATTTTAGGGTCTGGATCCTTCTGGGGTTGGGATCCTTTTGGTGTCTGGATGCTTTTGGGGTCAGGGTCCCTTTGGGGTCAGGGTCCCTTTGGGGTCAGGATCCTTCTAGGGTCGGGATCCTTGTGGGGTCGGGATCCTTCTGGGGTCAGGATGATTTTAGGGTCTGGATCCTTTTGGGGTCTGGATCCTTCTGGGGTCAGGATGATTTCAGGGTCGGGATCCTTGTGGGGTCGGGGTCCTTGTGGGGTCCCTCCGGGCCCTGCAGCCCCGGTGGTTCCCGTGTCTCACATCCTCTCCCGCTGCCATCCCGGGGCTGTCCCCGCCGCCATCCCCGCGGGTCCCTCCCCGCCGGTCCCCCCTTGCCGCGGGCAGGGCGGGGTGTCCCTGCTGGGGACGGGGACACCGCGGCGCCCGCGGGCCCTGCGTCAGCACCGGCAGCGGCTTCAAAACGCGCCCCGGGAGGAAGTGGGGCCGGGGCCGGGGCCGGGGCCGGGGCCGGGGCCGGGGCGATGTCGGAGCTGGAGCGGCTGCGGCTGAGCGAGATCCCCGCGGGCCGGCAGCAGCTGCGGGAGCAGCACCACAACCTGCTCAGGGTGGCCGAGTACTGCCACAGCAACTACCTGCAGGTCAGCGGGGCCGCGCCGGGCCGGGCCGGGGCTGGCGGTGCCGGAGCCGTGCCCGGGCAGCCCCAGCATCGCCCCGGCCCCGCCGCCCTTCCCGCGCCTCGGCTGCTCCTCCGCCCCCAGCAGCTCCCGCCTTTGGGGGGTTTGGGGTGCGGGGGGGTCCCGGGGGGCTGGGGCCGCTGGAGAAACCTTGGGAGGGGGCTGGGGCCAGGTGAGTGTCACAGGGGCTGGGAGGGGGCACCTGGCAGGGCCTGCACGTGTGGGGCGAGCGTGGAGCTCTGCTGGTGCCCTCATCATCATCCTCATCCTCATCCTCATCCTCACCCCATCCTCCTCATCCTCATCCTCATCCTCCTTGTCCTCATCCTCTTCCTCATCCTCACCCCATCCTCCTTGTCCTCATCCTCATCCTCATCCTCCTCCTCATCCTCCATCCACCTCCTCCCTGCCTGCCTGGCTCACCGAGGGCCGCGACAGGGGTGTAGGAGACGGGGTCAGGAGGAAAATGCCCATCCTGGCTCTCCCTGCCGGGCAGGGCTCCCCGGGCGCCCACCGGGGCCGGGCCGTGGCTGCTGCCGGCCCCGAGGCGGCTCCGCCATCGCGGGGCCCGGAGCCAGCGGGGCAGAACCGAGAGGAAATGGGGTGAGCTATTCTGGGAGCTGAGCCCCGGCACAGCTCAGAGCAAAACCCAGCACGGCTCAGAGCAAAACCCAGCACGGCTCAGAGCAAAACCCAGCGCGGCTGCGGCACAGCTCAGAGCAAAACCCAGCACAGCTCAGAGCAAAGCCCGGCACAGCTCAGAGCAAAACCCAGCGCGGCTCCGGCACGGCTCAAAGCAAACCCCGGCACAGCTCAGAGCAAACCCCGGCACGGCTCAGAGCAAAGCCCGGCACAGCTCAGAGCTCCGGCACGGCTCAGAGCCAACCCCGGCACGGCCCCGGCACGGCTCAGAGCCAAACTCAGCGCGGCCCCGGCACAGCTCAGAGCCCCGGCACAGCTCAGAGCAAAGCCCGACACGGTTCGGGGCAAACCCCGGCACGGCTCAGAGCAAAGCCCGGCACGGCCCTGGCACAGCTCAGAGCAAACCCCGGCACGGCTCAGAGCAAAGCCCGGCACAGCTCAGAGCCCCGGCACAGCTCAGAGCAAAGCCCGGCACAGCTCAGAGCAAACCCCGGCACAGCTCAGAGCAAACCCCGGCACAGCTCAGAGCAAAGCCCGGCACGGCTCAGAGCCCCGGCACGGTTGGGAGCCCCGGCACGGCCCCGGCACGGTTGGGAGCCCCGGCACGGCCGCTGCCACCCCGGCTGTGCCACGCGTGGTCCCCTGGCTGTCCCTGGAGGCTGAGCCGGGCCCTCGGTGACCTCCGGAGCCCCCCGGGACCTCATTCCCGGCAGGAATCCCGGGGAATCCCTGCACTTCCCCGGGCATCTGGAAAGCAGAAGGAAACTCCTCGGGGGGTTCCGGGCGGGCCGGGCTCGTCCCACGGCTCCGGGCTCTGTCCCCTGCAGGCCGGCGACAAGAGGGAGGCGCTGCAGGAGACGATGGCTCTGAGCACGCAGTCCCTGGCCAGCGTCGCCTACCAGGTCAGCAGCCTGGCCAGAGCCTTCCTGCGCCTCATGGACCTGCAGGCGGCCCAGCTGCGCCAGCTGGAGGCCGATGTCACCTGCGTGGCACAGGTGGGACCGCGGGGCACCGGGGGGGACAGGGGCGACAGGGGCTGCGGGCGGCGGGAGGCAGAGCCAGCCCCGGGCTGGGCAGGGATTGGCCTCGGGGGCGCTTCCCGGTCACAGCTGCCCATCCCAAAGTGTCCCCAAATCTGCGAGGGGGAGCGCAGAGCGTTCGCCTGAATGGCACTGCCTGAATGGCACTGCCTGAATGGCACTGCCTGAATGTCACACTGTCCCCGAGCTGGAGCCTGGCCCTGTGCTCCCGGGGCTTGGGGACACTGCTGAGGGGCCTGTGGGGACCCAGGGCTTGGGGACACTGCTGAGGGGTCCTGTGGGCACCTGGAGTTTGGGGACACCTCTGAGCTTGGGGACACTCCTGCAGGGTCCTATGGGGACCCCCAGCTTGGGGACACTGCTGAGGGGTCCTGTGGGGACCCTGAGCTTGGGGACACTGCTGAGGGGCCTGGCCCTGTCCTTGTGGGGCTTGGGGACACTGCTGAGGGGTCCTGTGCCCACCCCGAGCTTGGGGACACTGCTGCAGGGCCCTGTGGGCACCCAGGGCTTGGGGACACTGCTGCAGGGTCCTATGGGGACTCTGAGCTTGGGGACACTGCTGCAGGGCCCTGTGGGCACCCCCAGCTTGGGGACACTGTTGAGGGGCCTGGCCCTGTCCTCGTGGGGCTTGGGGACACTGTTGCAGGGCCCTGTGGACACCCAGGGCTTGGGGACACTGCTGCAGGGCCCTGTGGGCACCTGGGCTCTCCCTGGCACCTGGGAGCCACCTGGAGCAGCCACGAGAGGGGACAGGGCCCTGTGGAAGGAGCAGGGGAGCAGCTCGGGGGGGCTGAGCCCCTCCTGTCCCCTCGCCAGGGCCATGTCCCCATTGCCTGCTGTGGACAGCCTGTCCCCATTGTCCCCATTGTCCCCATTGTCCCCAATGTCCCCATTGTCCCCATTGTCCCCATTCCAGAGCAGGACCCGCCCCTTGGCAATCCTGTCCCCTGTCCCCTCCCGGGCAGGGACCCGGGGCTGGCAGGGCTGTGGCACCCGGGGGAGCGGGGACAGCCCGCGGTGGCACCTTGGGGACGGTGTCACCTCGGCAGAGCGTGGACATCCACAAGGAGAAGGTGTCCCGCCGCGAGATCGGCGCCCTGACCGTCACCAGGAGGTGCCTGAGCTTCCAGAAGGTTCTGCCCCCCCCGGAGCCCCCCGTGCTGGAGCCCTACTACAGGAGACCCCTCAACTTCAGCGTCCTGGACAGCGTCGGCCACGGGGTCAAGGTGGGTCCCACAGGGGCTGGGGTGGCATTTCTGGGTCCCCGGTGTCCCCAAGTGTCCCCAGTGTCCCCCTGAGCGGGGCACGGGTGGCTCAGACCCCTCCTCCATGGAGAATGGGCTCTGTCTGTGCCCTCTCAGCCTTGGGGCTCTGGCACCCCAGAGATCCTTCCCCGCCTCAGAGAACCCCACAGGAGGGGTTTGGGAGCCCCAGAGCCCCGTGGAGCCTTTGGCAGCTCTGAGAGGTGCCCACAAAAGGGTTCTGGAGTCCTCACAGCCCCACGGTTCCTGCCCCGTTCTGGAAAACCCCACAGGAGGGGTTCAGAGGCCCCCGAGCCCCACAGATGCTCCCCCACTGCAGAAATCCCCGCACAGGAGGGGCTGGGAAGCCTCGCAGCTCCCTTGGTCCTTTCCCGCTGCAGAGGCACCCCCGGGATGGGCTTTGGAGCCCCGCGGATCCTCCCCCGCTGCAGAAATCCCGCACGGGCGGGTTCGGGTTCCTGCGAGCCCCGCGGATCCTCCCCCGCTCCGGAAACCCCCGCGCAGGGCTCGGGGCAGGCGGGGCCGCCGGGGCCGCCGTTCCCACGGTGCCGCTGCTGCCTCGGGGCCGCCCCCGCAGCCCCCGGTCCCTCCCCGCATCCCCCGCAGCCCCCGGTCCGTCCCCGCATCCCCCGGTCCCTCCCCGCATCCCCCGCATCCCCCGGTCCCTCCCCGCATCCCCCGCATCCCCCGGTCCCTCCCCGCATCCCCCGCAGCCCCCGGTCCCTCCCCGCATCCCCCGCATCCCCCGCAGCCCCCGGTCCCTCCCCGCATCCCCCGGTCCCTCCCCGCATCCCCCGCAGCCCCCGGTCCGTCCCCGCAGCCCCCGGTCCCTCCCCGCATCCCCCGCATCCCCCGGTCCCTCCCCGCATCCCCCGCAGCCCCCGGTCCGTCCCCGCAGCCCCCGGTCCCTCCCCGCATCCCCCGCATCCCCCGGTCCCTCCCCGCATCCCCCGCAGCCCCCGGTCCCTCCCTGCAGCCCCCGCAGCCCCCGGTCCCTCCCCGCAGTCCCCGGTCCTTCCCCGCATCCCCCGCGGCCCCGGCGCCTCCCGAGCCCGAGTCCGCTTCCCTGGGTAGGAGAGACACAGCCCCGGAGGTCACTGGGCAGGGATGGCACCCACGTGTGTCCCCGTGTCCCCGTGTCTGTGTGTCCGTGTGTGTCCCTGTGTCCGTGTGTCCCTGTGTCCGTGTGTCCCTGTGTCCCCGTATCCGTGTGTGTCCCCATGTCCGTGTGTCCCCATGTCCGTGTGTGTCCGTGTGTCCCCGTGTCCGTGTGTGTCCGTGTGTGTCCGTGTGTCCCTGTGTCTGTGTGTGTCCGTGTGTCCCCGTGTCCGTGTGTCCCCGTGTCCGTGTGTCACAGGACACCAGCACGCAGCTGTCCCGCACGGGCACCCTGGCTCGCAAAAGCACCAAATGCTCCTCGGCCCAGGCTGCGGGGACGCTGGGGTGAGAGGGGCCCTGCTGGGTCACCGGGGGTGCTGGCACAGGGGTGGTGGCACAGGGGTGGTGGCACAGGGGTGGGCTCTGGCACAGTCCCATCTCCTCCCGTTCCGTCCCACCGATCCCAACCCATCCCATTGATCCCATTGATCCCATGGATCCCACTGATCCCATCCCACTGATCCCAACCCATCCTCTCCTGTCCCATTCCATCCCATGGATCCCATGGATCCCATTGATCCCATTCCAACCCACTGATCCCAACCCATTGATCCCATGGATCTCATGGATTCCATGGATCTCATCACACTGATCCCATCCCATCCCGTGGGTCCCATCCCATCCCATTGATCCCATCCCATTGATCCCATTGATCCCATTGGTCCCACTGATCCCATCCCATCAATCCCATCCCGTCGATCCCATCCCATCAATCCCATTGACCCCACTGATCCCGTCCCACTGATCCCATGGATTCCATGCAATCCCATTGATCCCATTGACCCTATTGACCCCATTGACCCCACTGATCCCATTGACCCCACTGACCCCACTGATCTCACCCCACTGATCCCACTGATCCCATCCAGTCCCACTGACCCCACTGATCCTGTCGGTCCCGCAGGAGGAGCAGCCGTGTCCCGGAGCCGGTGCAGCCGCCCGTGGTTCCCATGGGGAAGCTCCCGAGCGGCTCCTCCCCACTCAGGTACCCGGGCAGCTCCTGTGCTCGGGGTTTGGGGGAAAAAATGGGGTTTTGGGAGAAAAACGGGTGTTTGGGGGATTTGCTGCCCTGGCAGGGCTCGTGGGCAGGGCAAGGGTGTCCTTTAGGGAGAGGGGGAATGGTGGGAAATGATGATGGGAAATAATGGGAAATTATGATGGGGAAATAATGGGAAATTATGATGGGAAATAATGGGAAATTATGGGAAATAATGGGAAATTATGATGGGAAATAATGGGAAATTATGGGAAATAATGGGAAATTATGATGGGAAATTATGATGGGAAATTATGATGGGAAATTATGATGGGAAACAATGGGAAATTATGATGGGAAATTATGATGGGAGTTGTAGGATTGATGGTAGCAATGGGAAATGGGCCACGGGGTGGGGAAGGGTTTGCAGAGCTGCCGAGGCCACACGGTGCCACCTTGTCCTGGCACGGCCCCGTGTCCGTGCCCAGCACGGGCACACAGGGACCCCCACCCTGACACTGCTGCTCCTCCTCACCCCCAGCTCCAGCGGGGCCCCGGCAGCTCCCGGGGACGGAATTCCTGCCCCGCCACCCCTGCCCGTGGGGCCGCCCCTGCCCGTGGGGCCGCCCCTGCCCGTGGGGCCGCCCCTGCCCGTGGGGCCGCCCCTGCCCGTGGGGCCGCCCCCGCCCGCCGCTGCCATCCCAGCTCCGCCACCGCTCCCCGGGCACCCGGCCGTGCCCCCGCCCCCAGGTGAGTGCTCGGTGCTCCGGGGGCTGACAGGGGCACGGGGGCAGCGTCTGACCCGGCCCCATCCCTTCCGAGCCCCCCATCCCTCGCCCTTCACCCCTCGCCCTTCACCCCTCGCCCTTCTGGGGTTTTCGCAGCCCCCGATGACCTCGAGCTGCCGCCGCCGCCCCTGGCTGAGCCCGACTTTGGGGACCTGGCCCTGCCACCGCCACCGGACGCAGAGGAGCCCCCGTGGGACCCGCAGAGCTACCTGTAGACAGGTACAGGGGGTCCCAAAGCCCTGGAGAGGGGTACAGAGGGTTCTAAACCCCTTACAGAGGGTCCCAAACCCCCTGGGTCCCCTGGCCCAGCCCCTGCCCAGCACGCAGAGCCCCCCCTGCCACGCTCTGCGGTGCCAAAGCCGCTCCTGTCCCCCGTGCCCTGTGGTGGCTCCATGTCTGTGTCCCTGTCCCCAGAGGTGGCTCCATGTCCGTGTCCCTGTCCCCAGAGGTGGCTCCATGTCTGTGTCCCTGTCCCCAGAGGTGGCTCCATGTCCGTGTCCCTGTCCCCAGAGGTGGCTCCATGTCCATGTCCCTGTCCCCAGAGGTGGCTCCATGTCCGTGTCCCTGTCCTGCAGTGGTGGCCCCGCTCCCTGAGCCGCGGCAGGAGGACACCGAGGAGGACACTGAGCTGGGAATGCAGCGGGGCAGGAGCTGATCCCAGGGGCCACCTCTGGATCCCAGCCCTGGATCCCAGCCCTGGATCCCAGCCCTGGATCCCTGTGCTGGATCCCTGTGCTGGATCCCAGCCCTGGATCCCAGGCCAGAACAGAACCCCAGGCACAGAGCAGAGCCCACTGTCCCTGTGGGCTCCAGGGATGCTCCAGCCCCAAAACCGCTCCCCAGGGTGTCCCCAGGGTGTCCCCAGAGTGTCCTCAGAGTGTCCCCTGCCCATCCCCTGCCCATCCCCTGTCCATCCATCCCCTGTCCATCCATCCCCTGTCCATCCATCCCCTGTCCATCCATCCCCTGTCCATCCCCTGTCCATCCCCTGTCCATCCATCCTCTGTCCATCCCCTGTCCATCCATCCCCTGTCCATCCATCCCCTGTCCATCCCCTGTCCATCCATCCCCTGTCCATCCCCTGTCCATCCATCCCCTGTCCATCCCCCAGACTCCAGGGCCCGAGCAGGAGCCAGAGCAGGACCCCCCCTCGGTGCAGCTCAGAGCTGTGTCCCAGCCAGGCTCATGTCTGTCTGTCTGTCTGTCTGTCTGCAATACAGAGCTCTGTCCGTCTTACACAGATTTGTGTCTTTAATTCCATGGCTTTGAGTTCCACACAGTCCGAGGGAGGGGGTGGCACGGAGGAGGAACAACTCGGGGCTGCTTTGGTCAATTCCTGCCGGGTTTGGGGGAGCCAGGGCCGCCCTCGGGGGCCGGTAAGGCTGTGGATAAACCCGGGATAAACCCGGGATTAATCCAGGAGGAGCCAACCCCTGGAGGTGCCCCTGCAGAGTGCAATTAGAAGGGGGAATTAATTAATTAATTAATTAATACTGCAGTGGGGAGGGGGGGGGTTTGGCCTCTGGGGACCCAGTGCCAGAAGCGTCCCAGGGGGGATTGGGGCACCTCGGAGGTGCCCAGGTCAGGGGGAATTGACCCTCCCTGGGGTAGGAGGGGCCCCGCAGGATCCAGGAAAGGGCTCGGGGCAGGGAATTCCCAGCCAGAATTCCCAGCGGGATCAGGAGCCCAGCGAGCAGGGAATTCCCAGCCAGAATTCCCAGCGGGATCAGGAGCCCAGGGCCAGGCAGGCCAGGGTAGGATGGCAGGAGCAAGGCCGAGCCCAGCCCGTGGGGAGCCGGCTGCTGCATTTTTAGGAATTCCCTTTCGAGGTCAAAAGGGGAAGGAAGCAAAACTCGGCCAGAAATCCCCGTCAGGTCGGCAAAGGGTGCAGGGGCCGTGGCTGCGAGGCTGGGCAGGGCCGGGGGCCTGCAGAAAGTGCTTCACTGGCCGGGAATGGAGCCGGGAAAGGGGGGAGAACATCCCGGGAACGGAGCCGGGAAAGGCAGAGGAACATCCCGGGAATGGAGCCGGGAAAGGTGGGAGAACATCCCGGGAATGGAGCCGGGAAAGGCGGGAGAACATCCCGGGAACGGAGCCGGGAAAGGCGGGAGAACATCCCGGGAGCGGGGCCGGGAAAGGTGGGAGAACATCCCGGGAATGGAGCTGGGAAAGGCGGGAGAACATCCCGGGAACGGAGCCGGGCCCGGAGCCGCCTCCCTCCCTCAGCACTTTTTGCGCAGCAGCTCCTGCAGGTACCGCGCCACCTCCACCGCCGACTCCCAGGGCACCACGGCGGCCTGGAACGCCCCCGGCTGCTTCTCCTGGCTCTCCTGGATCAGCCTGTGCATGGGGTAGCCCTTCCTGGGGAACGCCACGTCCGCCGCCGTCAGCGTCCCGGCGGGGCAGAAGTCGTTGGCGCCGTCGCCCACGTAGAGCACGCGCTGGAACTCGACGTCCTCGCGCGCCCGCTCCGCCAGGTACTCGCCCAGGATCTTGGCCTTGCACATGTTGGCCGGGCAGCGCAGGCACTTGTGGCTGTGGTAGGGCCCCAGCGTGAGCACCCCGCGCCGGTCCAGGCTGGCCGGGTTGCTGAAGACCTTGCGGAAGAGCGAGCGGGCGCCGGCCGCGCGCAGCTTGGCCTCGATGCCGAAGGTGTTGGCGTCGGAGATGAGCACCAGCTCGAAGAGCTCCTGGTGCTTGGAGAGCAGCTGGAAGAGCTCGGCCATGCCCGGGGCCAGCGGGATGTTCTCGTAGGCGGCGCGGAGCTCGGCGGGGCGCACGCCCTGCTCGCCCAGGAAGGCCAGCACGCGCTGCATGTGCTCGTTGTAGCTGCCCCCGCGCGGGCTCTGGCGCAGCGGCTCCGGCAGCGCCCGGCCCCGCACCACGGAGTCGTCGCTGTTCTCGTCCACAATGGTCTCGTCAAAGTCAAACACCAGCAGGAAACGCGGCGGACGCGGGCCGGCCATGCCCACGCCCTGCAGGGGACGGACAGACAGACAGCGGGGTCACAGGGGTGTGGGATGGACAGACAGACAGCGGGGTCAGGGGGGTGTGGGACGGACAGACAGACAGCGGTGTTACTGGGGTGTGGGATGGACAGACAGACGGTGGTGTCAGTGGGGTGTGGGACGGACAAAACCTGGTGTTATTGGGGTGTGGGATGGACAGACAGACACCGCTGTTATTGGGACAGACCCTTGTGTCATTGGGGTGTGGGATGGACAGACCCTGCTGTCATTGGGGTGTGGGATGGACAGACCCCGCTGTCATTGGGGTGTGGGATGGACAGACAGACCCCGCTGTCATTGGGGTGTGGGATGGACAGACAGACCCCGCTGTCATTGGGGTGTGGGACGGACAGACAGACCCCGCTGTCATTGGGCCTTGGTGGCACCGTCCGTTCCCAGTCCCCCCAGGGAGGACAAACCCCGCTGGCCCCGGGACCTGAGCCGGGGCTGACGATCCCCGCCGGGCCGGGAGGGGTTAATCCCGTGCCAGGCCCCAAAGCCTCATCCTGCCCATGGAGGGATCGCCCTGAGGCTGATCCGGGCCGAGGTCACTGCGGTCACTGAGCCCAGCGGGGACAGCGGGACCGGATCACGGCATTTCCGGCCTTGGGAAAGAGCTCCGGGATCAACCTCGGACCCGGGACACCTGGGAGGGACAGGGGGGGACACCTGGGGGGGACACCTGGGGGGGACAGGGGGGACAGGGGGGACACCTGGGGGGGACAGCCCAGGCTGCTCCTCCTGTGCCACCTCTGGGACGGGGGGGACACCTGGGGGTGACACCTGGGCTGGGACAGGGGGGACACCTGGGGGGGGACAGGGGGGACAGAGGGGACACCTGGGGGGAACACCTGGGCTGGGACAGGGGGGACAGCCCAGGGGCTCCAGGTGGGATTTTAGGGACCGGTTCCCCCCCCCCCCAGAGGGTGGAAGAAGCGCCAGTGATGCCCCCGTTCCCAAGGGATGCCCAGGGTGGGATTTTGGGGTGTCCTGCAGGGCCGGGATGCCCAGGGTGGGATTTTGGGGTGTCCTGCAGGGCCGGGATGCCCAGGGTGGGATTTTGGGGTGTCCTGCAGGCCCGGGAGCTGGGCTGGACCGTCCTGGGGGATCCCTCCTGGCCCAGGGCATTCCATGCACCCCAAATCAGCCGGGCCTGGCAGCCCCCGCTCCCCTCAGCCCTTCCTGGCCACTCCAGGGTGGAATTCTGGAATTCTGGAATTAATTCTGGAATTTGGGGAGCCAGATCCCCCGGCAGTGGCACTGACCTTAAACAGGCATGGCAGCCCCACGCCCTGGCAGCACCTCCTCATGCTGGCACCATCGCGGGCCCGGGGCTGTGGGACACAGAAAAGCGGGAATTCCGTCAGTCCCGGGGCTTTTCCCGCGGGATTCCCGAGCTCGGGAGTTTCCGTTCCAAGGCTGGGAGGGGGGAGCAGAGCCCGTTCAAAGCCGCGGAGCCCTCCCGAGTCCCCGTGAGGGCAGCGAGGGAGCGGCAGAAAAATAAAAAAAAAAACGGGAAGGGCAAAACAGAAAAAAACCCAAAAAAATCAAAAAAAATCAAAAAAACCCCCAAACAAACATAAAAAAAACCCCCAAAAAACACAAAAACAAACAAAAAAAACAAACAAAAAACCCCCCAAAAACAAAACAAACAAACAAAAAACCAAAACAAAACAACAAAAGAAAAACCCGAGAACGGCAAAGAAAAAAAAATAAAGGAATAGCAAAAAAACCTGGGAACAGCAAAAAAACCCAGGAAGGGCGGCCCTGCTCCAACCCCCCCCACCCCGATTTTCTTCCAGGGAAATTCGTGGATGGATGGAGGGAGATTCCCCGCGAGTGACAGCAAAGCCGAATTCGGAATTCTGCCGACCCCTGGTGGTCCCCGGCGAGGGGAACCCTCCCCAAATCCCTCTGCCCGCTGGAAATTGGGCAATTCCCGCCGGGAATTGGAGCCGGGCAGGGCGAGCGGGGCTCGGCCGGGCCGGGAGGAGCGCGGGGATTTGTCCCCGGCTGTACGAAGGGGATTTGTGGGGATTGCGCTGGATCCCGGCCCGCTCGCCGCTATTTTGGGCACAAACAGCACCCATGACTCGGCTGGAATAAAAACCCTGCGGCACCTGGCGCAGGGAAACGGAGCTGGAAGCCGGGCTGGAAATTGTGGGAAAATCCCTTTTTTTTTTTTTTGTGAGGCCTGGAACCACACGCTGGGTGTTTATTTTGCTAAAAAAAATATTAAAAAAGCCGTCAGAACTGGAGGGTTTATTTACAGACAGAATCCGGAGCCAAAGAACGGCACAGCCAGGCTGGGAGCGGCTTCCAAAGGAAAAAAAAAAAAAAATGGGATTAAACAGGAAAGAGGAACTGGAATTTTGGTCACTGCTTGGTCACCGCCAGCAGTGAGGAAATAATTTGGGATGAGGCCTCGGGGAGAGTCGGTGGTGCTGGGAGGGAGGGAGGGAAAGAGCCCTGGGGACACTGGGGACACTGGGGAGTGAAACTGCCCCAAAAACTCCTCTGGGCCCGAGGGGTTGGGGTTTGTGGGGTGGGAAAATTCCAGGGGCAGGAGCTCGGAGCATCCCCAGATGCGGCTGCAGGAGCTGCTCCCCCAAAACCGGCCCCAAACCTGTCCCAAACCCACCCCAAAACCGGCCCTAAACCCACCCCAAAACTGGCCCAAACACCAGCCCCAAACCCGCCCCAAAAACAGCCCCAAACCTGTCCCAAACCCGCCCCAAAACCGGCCCCAAACCTGTCCCAAACCCACCTGAAAACCGGCCCCAAACCTGTCCCAAACCCACCTCAAAACCGGCCTCAAACCCGCCCCAAAACCGGCCCCAAACCCACCCCAAAACCGGCCTCAAACCCGCCCCAAAACTGGCCCCAAACCTGTCCCAAAACTGCCCCAAACCTGTCCCAAAAACAGCCCCAAATCCGCCCCAAAACCAGCCCCCAAACCGGCCCCAAACCTGTCCCAAAACTGCCCCAAACCTGCCCCAAACCCGGCCCCAAACCTGTCCCAAAACTGCCCCAAACCTGCCCCAAACACAGCCTCAAACCCGGCCCCAAACCTGTCCCAAAACTGTCCCAAACCTGCCCCAAAAGCGGCCCCAAACCTGTCCCAAAAACAGCCCCAAACTGGCCCCCAAACTGGCCCCAAACCTGTCCCAAAACTGCCCCAAACCTGCCCCAAAACTGGCCCCAAACCTGTCCCCAATACTGCCCCAAAACCAGCCTCAAACCTGTTCCAAAACCGGCCCCAAACCTGTCCCAAACCCGCGATGAACGGGATCAAAACAGGCCCCAGAATCGGGGCCAGCGTTATTCGGGATTGAGTTCCTGTGGATTATTTTGGGACTGAAATCCTCTGAGGGCTGGGGGGCTCCTGGCATCCCAAAAAACCCCAAAATCCTCGGGATACGGGCAAGGAAATCCCTCCCCAATAAAGCCGAGCTCGGCCAGGGATCTGCAATTCCCAACTGCACCCCTGATCCCACGGGAGGGGAAAAATTAATTTAGGAAATCTGCCGGACCCGAATGGATGCATGGACACCCAGCAGGGCCCGGGGGGCAGCGGGAAGGGAAATCCCAGCGGGAGAAGATCCCGAATTTTGGTGAGGAATGGGGCAAAGGGATGGGAAATCCCGGCAGGAGAAGATCCCGAATTTTGGTGCGGGATGGGAAATCCCGGCGGGAGCGGATCCCGAATTTTGGTGAGGAATGGGAAATCCCGGCGGGGGAAGATCCCAGATTTTGGTGAGGAATGGGGCAAAGGGAGGGGAAATCCCGGCGGGAGAAGATCCCGAATTTTGGTGTGGGATGGGAAATCCCGGCGGGAGAAGATCCCGAATTTTGGCGCGGAATGGGGCAAAGGGAGGGGAAATCCCGGAGGGAGAAGATCCCGAATTTTGGCATGGGATGGGAAATCCCAGCGGGAGCGGATCCCGAATTTTGGTGCGGAATGGGGCAAAGGGATGGGAAATCCCGGAGGGAGAAGATCCCGAATTTTGGTGAGGAATGGGGCAAAGGGATGGGAAATCCCAGCGGGAGAAGATCCCGAATTTTGGTGTGGGATGGGAAATCCCAGCGGGAGCGGATCCCGAATTTTGGTGAGGAATGGGGCAAAGGGAAGGGAAAACCCGGAGGGAGAAGATCCCGAATTTTGGTGCGGGATGGGGCAAAGGGAGGGGAAGTCCCGGCAGGAGAAGATCCCAGATTTTGGTGCGGGATGGGAAATCCCGGCGGGAGAAGATCCCGAATTTTGGTGAGGAATGGGGCAAAGGGAAGGGAAATCCCGGCGGGACAAGATCCCAGATTTTGGTGCGGGATGGGAAATCCCGGCGGGAGCGAATCCCGAATTTTGGTGCGGGATGGGAGAACCGGGAGCGCCTTCCCCAAATAAAAGGGGCTCCCTTGGGAAGGGAAGCGGCCGCGTTTTCCCAAAAAAGCGCAGCCGGAGGGACGGGAAATAAACGGGATTAATTGCTCAGGAATAAAGGTTTCAACTCGCCGAGTTTGGGCTGCGGGTGGGAAAACGCCGGGGAAATGCCGGGAATCGTTTCCCGGCGCCGTTTGCGCCCCGGGTTTCGGGGTTTTGGGGATCTCTGTGCCCAGAGCCGAGCGAGGAGCGGCCGAAATCGTCCCCGCCCGGCACCGGGGAGAAGCGGCCGCGGGGAGCCGGGACCGGGAGGTGCCGGTACCGGGAGCGTTCCCGGGGCACCGGCGCTCTCTGACCGTGCCCGGTCCGGAGGTTTTTAACCCCAAAGCCGATTTTGGAGCGCGGAATATTCGCGTTTTTAACCAACTCCAACCCAACTTCTGCCCTCGAGCGAGAACCGGGACCGGGACACGATCCCGCCGCCGCTGGAATTAAACCCGACCCGCTGCGAGCCCCGGCTCCCGAAAGAGCCGAAAATGCGGGAATTAACGGGAATCCCCGTTAAGGAACGCCCGGAGCGGGTCCCGCCAGCCCCGGGGTCCCCTCGTCCCTCCCCGGGCTCCGCGTTCCCCCCGAATTCCCGGGCACGGGCACGGGCGGAGCGTTCCGGGTCACCTCGGGTGACGGGGCTGCTCCGGCTTTTCCCGGGATTTGTTTTTCCTGCCGGGATCCGCGGCGTTACCGCAGCCCCGGTTCGGCCCCGGAACGCGGCGGTTCGGGGGATCCAGCCCCGGGTCCCGGATCCCGTGGCCTCTCCCCCGGTGCCGCCGGGCTGGCAGCGGCTCCGGTACCGGCACAGCCCCTCCCCGAGCTCCGCGGCTCCTCCCGGTACCGGCGGGGCTGAATCGCGGCCGCTCCGTGCCCGGGTGGCACCTCCCGGTACCGGCAGCAGCCGCAGCGGTACCGGCAGGGTCCAAGCGGGTGAGGACCGCCCCGGTACCGGCACATCCGCCCCGGGCACGGCAGGGTCCAACCGAAACAGGACCCCCCCTGTACCGGCAGGAGCCGCCCCGGTACCGGCAGGGTCCAACCGTACCGGCACCCCCCGGTACCGGCACCACCCGCCCGGCTCCCGGCAGGATCCCGCCGGGTGGAGACCCCCGGCACCGGCACCATCCGCTCCCGGCAGGGTCCAGCCGGGGGGAAACCCGCCGGTACCGGCAGCAGCCGTTGCGGATCCGGCATCTCCCGGTACCGCCGCGGTGCCGCCTCTCGCCTCCTTACCGGGTCGGAACGCGCCGGGAGCGCCCGGTCCGCCCCGGTGCCGGAGTGTGCGGGGGCGGCGCGGGGGCAGCCCGGGCTCGGGGCCGCTCCGGGGCCGGTTCGGGGCCGCTCCGGGGCCGGTTCGGGGCCGGTGCCGCCGCCGGCGCTGCCGCGAGCGCGGCCCCTTTAAAGCGACGCCGCCGGGGCCGCGCGGAGCCTCCGCAGTGCGCCGACGTCATCGCCCGCGCAGCCAATGGCGGCGCGGCTTTCCCGCCGCGGAGGGGCGGGGCCATCTCAGGCACCGCCCCCTTTCCGAGGGGCGGGGGGAGCGCCCCGCGCGGGTCCCGCCGCCCCCCCCCGCTGCCAAAAGTTGCCAAATCGGGAAAAACCAACAAAAACCCCGGTGCCCCCCCCGGTGACCGCTCCGGGCTTGTGTAACCGAACCCGTCTGGAGGGGGAGGTTCTGGCCCCGAAGCCAAGCGCGGCGCCGAGCGAGAAAAACGCCCGAATTGTCCCCAAAATAGCGGCGGGGACGGGCGGGGGGGCCCGGCGGCCGCAGCGGGCGGGGCCCCCCGGTAATTTTAGGAACCGGGACGGGCAATTGCAGGGTGGCAGTGCCAGGGCTGCCCCGCCCGGGCCCCGCCGCTATCGCGGGGGCCGCAGGAGCCGCCGAGATAAAAACACCGGGGCAGCGCCCTCGGGACACCGGGACCGCGCCGGGACGGCCAAACCCCGGCGGAGCTCGGGGCTTTTGGGTGGCTTTTAATTAAAAGCGTCCCGGAATGCAAAGGCGCGGCCGGGATTCCAAAGGTCGGGAGGAGCCGGCGGTGCCACGCTGTCCCCCGAGCCCCAAACTCAGGGATTTTTGCTCCTTTCGGTAAAATTCTGTCGCAGAGCGGAGCTCGGGGCGCTCCCCGGGCTCGCCCGGGCCGGAGGGGCCGACCCTGCCCCAGCGGCTCCTCCTGGGGAACGCCAGGGAATCCCCTCAGGGAATCAGGGAATCCTGTAAGGGAATTCTGTCAGGGAATCCTGTCAGGGAATCAGGGAATCCTGTCAGGGAATCGGGGAATCCTGTCGGGGAATCAGGGAATTCTTTTAGGGAATCCTGTCAGGGAATCCTCTTGGGGAATCCTGTCAGGGAATTATTTTAGGGAATCAGGGAATCATGTTAGGGAATCCTGTCAGGGAATTCTGTCAGGGAATCCTGTCGGGGTATCCTGTCAGGGAATTCTGTTTGTTAGGGAATCCTGTCAGGGAATTATTTCAGGGAATTATTTCAGGGAATCCTGTCAGGGAATTCTTCTCTCCCCTCCCCAGCCTGAGACTCTCCGGCTCTCCCCGGACATTTCCCCGCCCTGGAGCCGCTCCGAGCGGGAGAATCCAAAGGGGGAATTCCCCAGGGGCTCCTGCCGCTTCCCAGCGGGGCAAAGATCACCCCGGGATCACCCCGGACCCATCCCGGGCTCATCTCGGACCCATCTCGGATCCATCCCGGGCCTATCCCGCGATTATCCCAGATCCATCCCGGGATCACCCCGGATCCATCCCGGATCCCTCCCGGGCTCATCCCGGGCTCATCCCGGATCCATCCCGGGCTCATCCCGGACCCATCCCGGGCTCATCCCGGACCCATCCCGGATCCATCCCGGGCTCATCCCGGGCCCATCCCAGATCCATCCCGGGCTCATCCCGGACCCATCCCGGGCTCATCCCGGACCCATCCCGGATCCATCCCGGACCCATCCCGGACCCATCCCGCGATTATCCCGGCCCCATCCCGGACCCATCCCGGGCTCATCCCGGATCCATCCCGGACCCATCCCGGGCTCATCCCGGACCCATCCCGGATCCATCCCGGACCCATCCCGGGCCCCATCCCGGCTCCATCCCGGATCCATCCCGGCCCCATCCCGGCCCCATCCCGGGCCCATCCCGGCTCCATCCCGGACCATCCCACCCCGGGGGTTGTTGGGGACGCTCCCGGGGATTTTCCACTGCCGAGAGCCCCGGGCAGGAGGCGAGGGCAGAGCCCGGGGCACCCACGGGCGCCTTTCCCGACGCCCGGACCCGCCCGGGTCCCGCAGGGGCCGGGCCAGCCCCGCTGGCTCCGGGTTTGTCCTGGATTTTGGGACTGCGGCAGCTCCGCCGCCCTCTCCTGGCTCCGCCTTCCCAAAACGTGGCTCGGGTTAAAGCCCAAAGCCTCGGGAAGGAATTGCCGGGAAAAGCGCGCAGCTCTGGGGGCGCCGAGCCCTCGGGTTCCACCGAGGAATGGAATGGGAAAAAGCAGAGAAATAAAATGGGGAAAAAAGCAAAATAAATGTGGATTTAAAAAAAAAAAGGAAAATAAACGGGGACAATTAGGGAAAGTAAAACGGGAAAATAAAGCAAAATAAAATAGGGGAAAAGCAAAATAAAATAGGAGAAGAAAGGAAAATAAAACGGGGGAAAGCAGCAAAATAAAATAGGAGAAGGAAGCAAAATGAAATGGGAAAATAAAGCAGAAGTGGCAGGTGCAGAAAGGAGGGAACACCTGGGCAAACCCCTTGGAGTTTCCCATCCCTGTGGAATTCTGTGGGTGCAGCGAAAATGGAAATCGGAGGATCAAGAAACCACAGCAAATCCCAGCCTTGAATTCCCTGCCTTTTAAACCAAATTTTCCCATTTTCCCGTATTTTTTATTCTTTGGAAAGGATCCCACCCTGCCCTCCCAGCATCTCACAGCACGGCCAGACCGGGAAGAGGGGTTGGAATTTTTAATCTTCTTCCACAGAAAGGAAGTTCATAAATTCTCAGAATGATCCGATACAGAGCGGAGCTGAAGAGCAGGGAAAAAAAAAAAAAAAACAAAAACAAAACACAAAAACCATCCCAGATTCTGGAATTCTTGGAAGAGCAGCCTGGAATGCTGGAGAATTTATTGAGGAGGGAAAAAAATGGCTTTGGAAAACCTGGAAAACAAATTGTGGATGGCTCATTTTGGGGTTTTTCGGCATTTAAAAATCGGATTATCCTGAGCAGGAAATTGTGGCACCACTGGAGGCTGCGGGGGGGGGAATGCAGAGAATTCCAGGGAATTGCAACGTTGGGAATTCAGGACTGGAATTTTTTCCCTGCTAGAGGGGAAGAGGGGGGGGGGTTTAAATATTCTGGAGGAAATGGTTCAAAAATGGGCCCAAAAGGGGGTTTGGGCCCAAAACGGCCCTGAAACTTCCAATGTCACGGAAAACCCAACTCTGGGATTGGGAAAAGGCTGGGAAAGGATCCAGGGAGGAGCAAATTCCAGAGGTTTTCCCAACCCAGCTCCGTCCTGGGGGAGAATTCTGCCCTTCCTGGCTGAAAATGAATCCCAGAATCCACGAGCAGGGCAGAGCCCCCTGGGGGATCCCTGGGTTCGCTGGGACTGGGGTGGGAGAGGAGGAATTCCAGGAATTCCCGGGAATTCCCAGGAATTCCCAGGAATTTCCAGGAATTTGGGATTTGCTGGGCGCTGCTCTGGCAGGGGGAGAGAATTCCTGGATCCAGGGGGAGGAAAATCCAACCTGAGGGGTCCCAAGGGAGCCCCGTGGGATCCCAGCCTTGGAATGGGGCAATTCCCATGGGAACAGCTCCAGATCCCCATCCCGGACCTGGGTTTGCCCAAAATCCCCGACTCTGGCCCTAAAAACCGTCCTGGATTCCTGGGATGGAGCTGCCAGGGCTGTGGGACAGCTCCATCCCAAAATGTCCCAAAAAACCAGGCAGGAGCTCCCTGGAATCCCAGGAATTCCCTTGGTCTGATCCTCTCCTTGGAATTCCTGAATTCCCTGATCCCACTGCATTCCCTGCTCCCAGGAATTCCAGAAATTCCCTGATCCCACTGCATTCTCCTCTCAGGAATTCCAAGAATTCCTGAATTCCCTGATCTGATCCCACTGCATTCCCTGCTCCCAGGAATTCCCTGATCCCACTGCATTTTCCTCTCAGGAATTCCAGGAATTCCCTGATCCCACCGCATTCCTCTCTATAGAAATTCCCTATCCCTGATCCCACTGCATTCCCTGCTCCCAGGAATTCCAGGAATTCCCTGATCCCACTGTATTCCTCTCTATAGAAATTCCCAGTCCCTGATCCCACTGCATTCCCCTCTCCAGGAATTCCTGAATTCCCTGATCCCATTACATTTTCCTCTCAGGAATTCCTGAATTCCCTGATCCCACTGCATTCCCTGCTCCCAGGAATTCCAGAATTCCCTGATCTGATCCCACTGCATTCCCTGCTCCCAGGAATTCCCTGATCCCACTGCATTCCCCTCTCAGGAATTCCAGGAATTCCTGAATTCCCTGATCCCACTGCATTCCTCTCTATAGAAATTCCCTATCCCTGATCCCATTGCATTCCCTACTCCCAGGAATTCCAGGAATTCCCTGATCCCACTGCATTCTCCTCTCAGGAATTCCAGGAATTCCCTGATCCCACTGTATTCCTCTCTACAGAAATTCCCAGTCCCTGATCCCACTGCATTCCCCTCTCCAGGAATTCCTGAATTCCCTGATCCCATTACATTTTCCTCTCAGGAATTCCTGAATTCCCTGATCCCACTGCATTCCCTGCTCCCAGGAATTCCAGAATTCCCTGATCCCACTGCATTCCCCTCTCAGGAATTCCAGGAATTCCAGAATTCCCTGATCCCACTGCATTCCCCTCTCAGGAATTCCAGGAATTCCAGGAATTCCCTGATCCCACCGCATTCCCCTCTATAGAAATTCCCAGTCCCCGATCCCACTGCATTCCCCTCTCCGGAATTCCAGGAATTCCCTAAATCCGGAGCTCCATCCCCAAATTCACCGATCCCACGGGAAAGCCGCCGAACCCCGGCCTGGCTCGGAGCCCTCTCCTCCCCCTGCTGGCTGATCCCGCACCTCCCATTCCCAAATTTCCCCAACGTGCAGGACAAAATCTCCCTCCCAATCAAATTCCCGTCCGTTCATTCCTGGATCCGCATCCAGCGGGAATATCTGACCCTGGCAGCTGAAGGGAAACCGGGAAAAGGGAAATTTTAAAAAACCAACAAAAAAACCCCAAAAAAAAAGCCCTAAAAAATAAATAAATGCAGAAATCACCACGGGTTTGGGATGATTTTTCCAGAAACTTTTGGGGATTTTTTTTTTTTTCTCCTCTCTTCTCCGAAGCACCTTGGAGTCGTGGGGTTGGGGAAT